AGCCAATCTGTCACATTCTTTGCTCATGTTTCTCATTTTATACATTTTTATTTTTCTGAGGTTCTCTTCTAAAAGAAGCGCCTTTTCGCATGTGCCTAATACTATGAGACCTTAGTTATTAACCACTTATGTTGCCCCAATTAAATGATTAAATATACAGTTCTGATATTTGTCTCACTCAAATGTCATGGTGTTGCAGATATTGACTCACCTTGAGAATGCCATAAAGCAAGATCATTTATCACCGGTCTTTGAGACAACAAGAGAATTATTGGCTTCTAATCTTCCGTCGGAGAGTGATTTGACTGATTCTGTCCACCCATGGATACCCCAAACTACTGCAGCTGTTGCTTTAAGGCTTCTGCTGCTTGGTGCATCCATCATGTACTTAAAGCAGGAGAAAGTTGAACCAGCTGAGAACAGGGAAGCTAGAACATATATAGTGAGTATTTTTAATGCCTTTTTATTCCCCTCCTTAGCAAGCGGGTATAATTTTGATATTTTCTATTGGTAGACTGGATAACGGTTAAATGATGGTATTTCCAGAGGTTGACATTCTGTGAATTTGCCTAGGATCTCACTTGCCACCTATTTTTCTCCAGTCATTTTACCATGTGTTTGCACCTTATTTGACTTGGTCATTTAATTTTTGAAATGTAAGCTAACTAATTTTGTCAAAAACGTAGAAGTTTCCTTCAAGAACCTCTCTTTTCATCAAGAACAAAGGGCCTGAATCGAAAGAACTAGACCAAGATGAGCCTATGAGAGCAGAAAACTTTGCTGACCTGAGTAACAGTAAGCGCAACAAATCTAAGCAGGGAAAGGGGTTCGTGAACTATGATCTAGTAAAAAGTCAAAGAGGAGAGCTTCTAAATCCAAACATCGTACTAGCAAGCAAAGTACTAGAGAAAAAAATAATTTGAGTCTCCACTTCAAACAACAGGACCAAAGAATACTTGGTCAGAATTCTGGAAATCGTCGCCGAACAGTTGGAAAGATAACAGAAAGGAGAGCTGCTGGTAATACAATGGTGGCTTCTATGAGTGGCGTGACTAAACCTAAGGCCAGAGCTGTATCTGTTGCAAGAGAATTGGATGAAGAATGGAGAGCTGAAAGATTCAAAATGATGCAAGTAGTAAATCCTCCTGATAGTAACAGCATGGAAGAGGAGTCGGACGATAATGCCCATGGTCATGGATACGAGCAAGGAAACTGGAAGCCGGATCTTAATGGTGCTTGTAATGACTGGAATGGAGGTTCAATGGAAGCTTCTGATGAAGATGATGATGCATATGAAGATGATAATGGCATTAAACTGCAAGAAGACAAAGAAGAAGAGTTAGATGGAGATTTGGAGATGTGTGATGCATCGGATGAAGAAGCGAATGAAACTAGAAATGATGATGGCTAGGACTTGGCAGCTCCAGAAAGGAGTGATTAATTTGTTACGTTGGAGTTGCATCATGCTTTTCATTTGAGGTTGGCAGCTCGGCCACTTCCTTGTCGGTCGTGATGGCCAAGTCGAAGCAAATTTGGAATGCAATTGATGCAAAAGGATTGGCACAGCTTCAGTGGATGATAAGTGAGAAATCCCATTGAGGTATGCATTTTTTTTCTCTTTCTTTTCTTGATAATAGAAAATTTATTTCACCCCATTCAAGTCGTATCATGTAATTTCATTATTGGATATATTTAAAATAATAAATATTAGGTTTAAATATGCTAGAGATCTTTATACTGTTTTGAAATTAATTAAAACTTTTAGTTTATTCAGTTTTCAGTATATTTGATTTCAGCGGTTAAATCAATTCAAATGTTGGTTTTAGAAATCTAAGTCTAATAGATAAATTACAGATATATACTTAATTATTCTTAATTTATATAAATTGGGATAAATATTTGAATCAATTTTTAAAAAAATACGTAATTTTTACTGCATTATCACGTTTAACCGGTACATTTATCTACACAATCAAATATAAATTAAAATAGGCAATAACCCATAACAATAAATAAATGTTATAGACGTGTATTACACCAGACGTTGTAACGCCTAAACTGAAACGGTCAATTACTTCCAACACATTTTGAAAAGTGGGAATCCAATTTTTTAGGATCAAGCCTTAGTGAGTTTGGCATTTAGAATGTTATTGTTATGTCCTTTGTTACTTTGAAGAGGTTTCATTTTAAGATCACTTGTGGTATATAAACTCGTATACTATATATTTACTATTATCGAGTAATTTACAATAAAAAGAATCAGTCATGATGTAAAAATCGATGATCTTATATTATCAATGTTTAATTCTTTCATCGATAATCCTATATTATCGATGTTCAATTCTTTCATCAATGATCCTCTGTTGTCAATGCTCTTTTCTTTCACGGATAACCCTATCTTATGTTGTCAATGCTTCATTCCTTTACCTATGTTACTATGTTGTCAATGCTCTCCTCTTTTACTGATAATTCTATCCTACGTTGTCAATGTTCCATTCTTTATTTTGAATTAAACTCAAATTTCAAAAATGAAATATAATCAAAGCACAAAATTCTTACCAACGTGAGGTTGAATTGAACTTGATTACATATGAAATAATATTGATTACTTATATCATCGGGAACACAAAGAGCAAAGCAATAGATTAGCAGAGTGGCGTGTTGGGTAAGATGTCGACGTTAGAGCGGGCATCGGCGTTGTTAGGAAGTTGGCCGCCAACCCATACTCAACAATGGATCTCGGAAAGTTGTAAATAGCTTTGGGGGGGGGGGGAGTTAAAGATGTAAGGTAGGGTTTTTCCCCCTAATAATACTTTTTGGATTTTGATTTTTTTTAAAATCATTTTAGTCCTTAAATTTTTATTTCTTCTGACCTTTGAAATTTCTTTAGTCAAACTAAATCAACTGATGAAAAAATGGATGAGTTAAACTCACATTAACTATTTTATCTTTTTCTTATTTATCTGTATGTTTTTAATCTATTTAACGACGATTTAAGTTTTATAAAGGCCCATTATAGAGATGACTTTCTCAACACAGTTTGCTCAATTGGCAAATGTCAGGTTTCGAAGTTCTGGCCTTACTTAAAAGATCTAGTGTCTCATCACACTAAACCAAGTGGTTATTGATAACTATTTTATCTTTTTACTTATACCGATGGCAATTATTTTATCATTTTACATAAAAGTAAAAATATTTAAAAATTCTAAAATAATAAAAATTATAAAGGAATGCATAAAATACATATTTAAATTATTACTTATAAAAATTAAAATTTTGTAAAAAAGTATAAAATTATTAAAAAGAATTGTTATTTTTCATCGATTGATTTAATTTGACAATATTAGAAATTCATCAATAAAAAGAGATAAAAATTAATAACTAAAATGGTTTTTTTTTAAATCGAGAGCCAAAAATATCATTAATCTTTCATAAAACCCATACAACACTGAATAATGAAATGATAAATCATATATATTATGGATCAAACCAGTGGATAATTTTGTTACTAAGTTTTGAGGGACATAATTGAAATATTCGAAAAAGTTAAGGGGACAATGAAAAACTCCAAAACATTTGGGGCCTAGATAGAGTGTTAAAATCTTTAAAAGATTTAAGGAGATTTCTTTTAAAAAATGGGATCTAATTAAAATATTTAAAAAACTAATATTTGGGGTCAAATTTATATTTTTATCTAAAATATAGTGGTTAAATTAAAAATTAAACATTTAAACTAACATGCCACGTCATTAAAGTAATGAAAGTTAATTCATATGTGATCAAATTATAATAAAATAATAATTTAGGTGACTAAAATATATATTTTTAATTTCAGTGGTCAAAATAAAATAAAAATTGACTTTGAGACAGTCTACCATTTTTGTTATGAGGAATGTGAAAAAATGAATGAAATAAAAATTTAGTGTGAAATTGATATTTTATTTAAAGTTTTTAGATAAAATTAAAAGTTAAGTATTTTTTTAGAATATGTCACATCATCAGTTTAACATATTAATAGGAGATCATATTGTAATAAATTAATAATGTAAATGAATGAATTTTTAAAAGTTGATAGTCAAATGAAAAAGCCAAACAAAAGTGACTTTGGTTGTAATTTACCCTAAAATCTTGGTTTAACGAGTTGAGCTTTAGGTTTTATCAACCAATCGTTTTCTTTAACCTCGTTTGTTCTATACGTCTTGTGATTGTCTCAACCATCACGCTCTCTTTCAATTACCCATTTTTAATGCTAAAAATCAAACCAATTGCTCTTAAATTTCTCATCCACTTTGTTTTCCAGTAATATTTATTTATCTTTTAGTTGTAAAATAACTGTTTTTTAAATTTAATTGTTTGTAACTTTTAGAACTTGTTGAGTGATCTTAAAGTAAAAGAGAATGTTATTCTTCTCAAAAAATTCAGTTTTGAGTAACTGTATTTGTAGGATGTGTATATGTTGTCGATAACTAATAAAGATTGTAAGAAAATATTGTCTTATAATCACCTCATACTATTAAAAAATTATTTATACTTTTAAGGGTAAAATACACTTTTAGTACCTCAACTATCACTTTTATTCCGTTTTGATCACCTCAACTATTTTTTTTAAATAATTCATAACGTAAAGTTTTGGTCCATTTTGGTCACATGTCGTTAAAAAAATAATAGAATTGTTGAAATGGCAATTTTTTTAAAAAATTCAACGATAATGCGGCATTGTCTTATGGTAATACGTCAGTGTCACCATTAATTTTTAATTGGTGAGTGACCAAACTGAAAACAAAATGTAACAATAGGTGTGATTTTAAAATAAAAAAATAGTTAGTTGACCAAAAGGAAACAAGAATAATAGTTGCAGGTACTAAACGTGTAGTTTACCTTAATTTCAAATACCGATGATTAATGATTAAATTACAAAATCAAATGCAAAGCTAGGATGATAAAGCTATGAAAGACTCATGTGGAGTTCATTTGAAAAATCAAATCTTCAAATCCTTTTCGCCTCCGTGTTTAAGTCGTCTGTCATAATTAGCCTCAAACTCTCGAGTTTGATGGCAAAGTAAAAAAGGTGGTGTGAAGTTAATGATTCTACCAACCCAAACATTAATTGATTTCAGATAGCTGCATATTTCATGATAAACTTCAAACGCCATCCAACTATTTCTCAGACTCTACCTTCAGCCATGGCTGCCCAGGTATCATAATTTCCATGGCTTCCGGTTCTTTTAATCTTCTGGGTTTTGGTTGCTTTATTATATATATATGTATTTTGAATTATTGATTGTTCCCAGAATCATGAGACGAGCAACGGGTGGCCACTCGGACTACAAATAATGAGCACCAAAATCCGATTACAGTCTTCAAACCTGTCATCCACAAGTTTTTCTTCTGTTTCTTCCTCCAACCTTGACACCGAGGTACGTTCAGTCATTCCAAGCAACTTTTTTTTTCTTTCATTTTCGCCATTGTCGAAGAAGTCTCATCGGCTTGTTTCTTTCTTCCATGGCGAGGGCGGTCAGTCTCCGGCATCGTTTTTCCAGGACAACAGCGTTTCTCTGGGTAAGCTAATCGGATTCAGACAACGCGAGAGGGGAACAACAGTAACTTACTTCCAAAACACAATCCGTGCTGAACAAAGAGATTGGCAACCGCCTGCAGTTTCCAGTGACTGCGAGGCTGTTTCGGGAGGAGATTTGTGTCGGCTGGGGATATGCATACCGGTGATGGTAGGCTCGTTTGTGAAGTACAGTAGAAGGTCTAAGTGAGAGGTAATCAAGAATCCGAGTTTTTTTTAATAGTAATTGCTGTACCAAAACAAAATACCCTAATAATAATAGAAAAAAAACTTGGATTGATATCTTCAATTTTCAATTTTTGCTTTGTGTTCATAAATTTAAATTACCCATTAAACTTTTTGGGATGTAAGTTAAATCTCACAATATAATTTTTCGACTGTAAACCGAAAATATTACATATTTATATAATTTTTTTAAGTTAATAAAATTATATTTATAATTAATAACCATCTTAAATTAAATTATACATAGGAGAGTGAAGGAGGCAAGATCAGAAATTGAGGCTTGCCAAGTTTGATGGAAGGTGCAAAGCCAAATACAAGTAACCATGGTTTTCAGAACCGGACCGGTTAGTGAATCGGTCATGTTATCGGTTCACTAGTTCAACCGGTCGAACCGGTCCGACCGGTCGGAAGAACAGGACGACGTCATAATTATTTAAAAAATTAAATAAAAATATCAAAAATATTTAATAAAAAATAATTTTTTATATCACAAGTCATATTCAAAGCAAGTCATAACATATATAAGTTAAAAACCATAAAATCAAGTGAAACAAAATGATTCAAATTAACTACAACATAATATTTAAGGTAAAACATATTAAATAATAAATATAATTATATAACTATAATTAAAAAATAAATTTGGGGTTAAAAAAATCATAACAAAATGATATTGTTTGGTTTAATTTTTTTAAAAAAACAATCTCACATGGCTAAGAAACATAGAAGAGCATCCAAAAGTCTAAAGAGTAAAAATATGAGAACAAAACAATCTCACATTGCTAAGAAACATAGAAGCGCATCACAATTAACTTCTATAAATAATAGAGGTAATTTGGCATTCAAAATCATGAAGCCTTTTGGTGAGCATTGAGTGAACTATTCTTTCACTTCAATCAAGCTCGAATTTTAGGCTTCAATCGAGCTTCTAATTTTTTTTGAGTTCAAGCCTTTTTGAGTTCAAGTTTCAATATTATATTTCGAGTTTGAGTTGAACTTGATAATTTTTAGCTTGTGAGTTTGAGTTGAGTTGAGCTTACTTTTAAAGTTTTCAAGTTCGAGTCGAGCTCAGCAATACTCGAGTTCGACTTGGCTCGTTTAACAAACGACGTTGTTTGGTTTAATTTTTTTTTTAAAAAACAAAAATCCATGTTTTCCCCGGTTTTTTCTGGTTTTCAGCCGGTCCGGTTCGAACGGTTCAGCGGTTCTGGCCGATTCACTAATACCGGTTTAACCGATTTAGATTAAACCGAATTAAACAATAATTCTCAGTTGAACCGGTTGAACCGGCCGGTCCGGTCCGATTTTCAAAACAGAGCAAGTAACTTTGAGTTATCTTCTTCAGCTCTTCTACCAATTTATCACCTACCATTACATATGGTTTAATTGTTTAATAATTTCAAGGATCAAAGGAGATAAAAAAAGGTTTGTCTTACCAATCCAAACACTTATTTGACTAACCAGATATCCATAAATATTCCGTCAAAGTATAAAACAATCAAAAAGCACTTTTCATTATCATTTTTAAGAGTATAGCCAATTTGTATTTGTTGTTTTTCAAAAGTGCTTTGGACATCAACAAGAGCCATAAGCAAGGCTAAACACATAACTTTTGGAGAAAAAAGTGATTTTAAAAAGTGTTTTGTAACTCGAACATAAATACAATTAATAAAAATATTACATTGTTATTTATATGATTAATAAATTATTTATAGGTTTAAAATTTTATATATTTTCATGTGGATATTTTTAGATAAAAATTATTTTTAATTTGTATATTTTAATAGAATATGTACAATTAATAAAAATATTATTTATTTAATAAAATTTTTTTATATATATTTTATCATAATTTAAGTTGAATATTTTTAATTAAATAAGGTAACTATAAGGCAATATCTGTTCAAAGATAACTCACAATCATTTGACATTAAACGCTCACACCCCTGACATTCATAGTACTCAAACTAATGACCTTAAGAAATAACAACAATTTATTTACTTCATAGAGCATTTGGTTCGTACTTTAAATTGAATATTTAATATATTATAACATTAAGAAACTCAAAAATAATTTAAATGCATATTTATTTAGCTTACAACATCATATCTATCATGGCCATTTATCTTTTTAAAAGCATTTTTTTGATGATAATAACAAGAGAAAATAATCTCAGTGACAAAAAATGCCTTATAATATATAATTTTAACCAATTTTTTTGGATTTGCCAAAATGACCAACTAAATCGCAATGCGATCGATAATTCGCAACGCGATCTCCGGTATCGCAAATCAGTTTCCAGATTCGCAACGCGAACTTCGACTATCGCAATGCGATTTACATATTCGCATTGCGATAGACGAAGTTCGCGTTGCGATCTTCCAAATTCGTTGCGATAGTCGAAGTTCGCAACGAGTGGTGGTATTGCATTTGTTTCTTAAGAATTTTCTCTAAAAAAATAGTATTCGCGCGGACGTGTCGAAGACACGTATTATCACGTCCACGACCCGAGACGAGATGGACAGCGGCGGCACGCGAGAGTCCCCCTTGTTCTCTATCACTCAACAAGGAAGTGGAAAAGCCAAGCCATAAATACCATTCCCAATAGTGTTTCTAATACTATGTGGGATTGAGCATTACCAACACTTGTTTCCAATACAATGTAATTATTCAGGAAACAATTAACAATCATGCACCTTAAAACAACTAAATCAGCAACCAATTGCTTTAGTATTATACGATTAAATATGTCATAATTAAAAGTCAATCTACAATCAATCGCGATTATTGCAATTTTAAGCAAAACATTCAAAAATAATATCACTATTTAAGGCTCAATCCCACATAGTATTGGAACAAGTGTTGGTAATGCTCAATCCCACATAGTATTGGAAACACTATTGGGAATGGTATTTAAGGCTTGGCTTTCCCACTTCTTTGTTGAGCGATAGAGAACAAGGGAGACTCTCGCGCGCCGCCGCCGTCTCGGGTCGTGGTCGTGGTCGTGGTAATACGTGTATTCGACATGTCCGCTCGAATACTATACTTTTAGAGAAAATTCTTAAGAAACAAATGCAATACCATACCACCAGTCATTGCGATTTTGGACTATCACAACGAATTTGGAATAAATCGCAACGCGAACTTCGACTATCGCAACGAACTTGGAATAAATCGCAACGCGAACTTCGACTATCGCAACGAATTTGGAATAAATCGCAACGCGAACTTCGACTATCGCAACGAATTTGAAAAATCGTAACGCAAACTTGGACTATCGCAATGCGATAGTCGAAGTTCGCATTGCGAATCTAGAAACTGATTTGCGATACCGGAGATCGCGTTGCGAATTATCGATCGCATTGCGATTTAGTTGGTCATTTTGGTAAATCCAAAAAAAATTGATTAAAATCGTATATTATAAGACATTTTTTGTCACGAGATTATTTTCTCTAATAACAAACACTACCGAAAGTAATTTTCAAAATCACGTTTCCATCACACTTTTAAAATTAATTAGTGATCAAATATATAAACCCTTTTTAAGTTGATCAATTATTGACAAAAATATATAATTAAACCGGTGAAATTAATCAATTTTTAAAAATATATATTAGCTTTATAAATATTTTTAAAATATATATATAATAACTAATTATTATCTATCCCAAAATTTCAAACTCACCCAACACTTTTAAACCAATCAACTTAATCATTGGACCAAGTTGTAAGGGTTAAGACCTGCCAATTGTTCTCATCTATCTCATTGTTATTGAAATTAGGAAAATTATTTTTATAAATTGATGTATTTCATTTTTTTAATATTGAAAAGAACAAGAGAATTAAGTATTCAAAGTATAAAAATAAACTTTTTATAGTGCATACAAACTACTCATAATTTCATAATGAGTCCTTTTAATATTTTCAAATTTATAATTTATTTAATATAATTTATTTTTATGAGATTACATTTTTATTTGAACATCTTTATTATCTCTTTTAATTTTGTTGTTAATTGTTGATCTGACAATTATAAAAAAAATTAAAATGATTCTTAATTTTTTACGTTTTTTGATAAATTAATTTTAATTTTTTACGCTTGTATTTCTTATTAACATTCAATTAATACAAATTATAAATACAAAGAATAAAAAGTATTTTATCTTTTATGACTATTTGATTAAAATTTAATGATAAGATTAAATAAAAAATTAAAAAATAATCAAATTTTAAATAAAAATAATACAAGATTTAGTTTCAGGCAAATATAATTTAATGATTAAATTTTAAAATAATATAAAATCTTTAACATATTGAAATCTAATTTCATGCTTAATTCTCACCTATATTTTTCTTCTCATTTTAAATTATGACATAGACGCTATAAAGGGCACGAAAACACGCTACAAAAGAATACACGATAAACAATTATATATATATATATATATATATATATATATATATTATAAAATTACATAATAATATTTTATTTAATAAAAAATTAATATTTTATATTTAATAAAATAGTATTAGAATAGTTTTTTAGAATTTACTAATACATTCATTACAAATTCTCTAAAAATTAAAATTTTTAACAAATCTTGCACGATTTAACATTGATTAATATTTTTGTGATTGATTTATTTTAGATTTAATAATTCAAAATATATATTATTTTCTAATATTTTATATAATAACCTTAAGGCAATATCTAAATTGAAAATATTACAACACCACACAAAACACCTAAAAATAGTGAAAATATTTAAGCATAAAACCAAGCGTCGTCAATTATCAACAGAACAATCTCTCTCTCTCTCTCTCTCTCATCGAAAGCTCGTTGAGATCAACGAAGCCAAAGGTTTCTCAAAGATAAAGTCAAAGAAAACTCGGAAACATATATATATATATATATATATATATATATATATATATTCGAGAGGAAAAGAAGAAGAAAAAAATCCAAACTTTAGCAGATTGTTTGTCCTAAAGATAACTTTTTGTCTTAAAAATCCAAGCTTTGGTCTTTCAATGGATTCGGATTTCTGGACATATCGTCTTGCAGCTGCTAAATGCCAATATAATTTGCAGCAGCAAAGCTCTCCTTTGGGTTCGTTTTCTTATTTCATTTTTCGATCTTTGATGTGGGTTCTTTTTGTTTTCCCTTTTTATCTCATTTTTATGATGCTGGCGTGTCTGTTTCGAAATATAAACTATGAACAAAGATCGTTTGAACATCGATGATTTCGAGGTAGAGAACGAGGTACGACCAGATTTCCCATGTCCCTACTGTTACGAGGATTTCGATATCGTGTCTTTGTGCTCGCATCTCGAAGATGAGCATCCTTGCGAATCAAAAGTTGCGGTAAGCAAATTTCAATATATCTGAGTAAGCTTCATTGTTTTTTTGCCTCTTGAATAAGATTAAAAAGTGATGATTAGAACACCATTTAGCTTGTTTTGTTGTGTTAAATTGTGGGGAAAGGTGCCTGAATTGAAATTGATAGTAGGGATGAACCCAGGGGGTTGGCGGCGAGGCGGTTGTCCCTGAAAATTTTAAATTCACATATAATTTAAGTATTTTATTTGTATTTTCTATCGATAATCTAAGTGGGAGAAATCGGTAATGTACAAGGTTATAGTTTCAGTGACTGTGACAATGTCATTTCCGACTCTGTTATTAACAACCAGATAGAAGCGGTGGCAATCGGTTGAGATAGTTGCTTTATCAAACAAAATTTAGGATTTGTTCAATGTTTACCCAGTTTTTTATGGGGTAGGGGAAGAAACAAAACTGAAACACTCAATTTAAGTGGTACTTTAACATGGCATCTGCCTTTGCAGATAGAATTTCAGGCTTTTGGTAAGATAATTTGGCTATTTAGGCTGCGGAAACTTCTGTCGAAATATGAAACTGCCACCGGATACGGAGGCTTGAGCAGGATGGGCTGTTTTATGTTCATGCTCTTCATGAATGCTACATTCAACAGATAAACGTTGAAAGTGGACATCCATGGAAAGCTACAATAAGCTTGACAGGTTGAGAATGTTATGATTTGGAACAAGCATTTAGTATATGCTATTGGCAATGCTGGAGGATTGTATGGCATATCATTTCCTAGGTACGAAAGAATAAATAGCTAGCCTCGACCTTATATTTCTGCCCAGATGATCGGATATTTTCCTCCCTTTTCCTAAACCAAAACCTACTCTCAATCTCTAGTGGAGACCGGTTACAACTTTGGAAAGACCTTTAACGACTAGCACCTCATACAAGTCTCATAATAGAGCGTTAGTAATCTTGTTTGTAGTTCTTGTTTACTTGGGTTCATGGTGGAAAAAAGTTCCGATGATGTTTTCGTGACAAAAGAGTCTTATGCATTAACCTTTCTGTTACAGATTTGTCCAGTTTGCTCCAGGAAAGTATCAAGAGACATGCTAAGTCATATCATGCTGCAACACGGACATTTGTTCAAGATATCCTTAATAATTGAACTTTGTACAGTTTCTTAGATCATGTATTTACTAGGAAAAGTCGAATCATTAGGACAGTTTCCCTTAACAAAAGATTACTTACAGAGACATCGCAGGTTACGTAGAGTTGCGATTCCTAACAGCCAGGCACTGTCTCTCTTGGGTCGGGATCTTCGCGAAGCACATTTGCAAGTACTTCTAGGGGGCAGTGCATATAGGTCCAGCAGTACTAACGTGTCTAACACAGCTAATGATTCGCTCCTTTCTTTACTCATTTTGAATTTCCCTGCATCTGAAGCCGAAGAGCTTACTAAATGCTTTGTAAATAGCGCCGAAGACATTGCTGCCAAAAATGTCACACCAACTCATATGTGGAAATCGAGGTAATCATTCATGTCCTTTCTGCGGTACAACATATTCAATAATGTTAGGTATGATCATTGTTTAGAGAGACTGCAGTGTGGTTCAAATGAAGAACTTCATCGTGTATCAATTGTATACGGAAACCATCGAATATAATTAAAAACTGACATCTCGTTTCCGTTTATGTCATGCAGTTTCGATCCTTCTTTGAGTAACGAGGAGCGTGAAAAAAGGATTCGGCAGGCCAGGGGGAGAGCCGGTTTCATCCAGGATCTTGTGTTGTCAACTCTTGTGAACGAGGAACAAAACCAGTGAGTGAAATGCATTTGTGGGTAGGATGCTAATGAAGGATGCCTGTGTAGTCCGATTGTTGAAGCAATAATACAAACTTGCTTCATCATAGGATCCCAAACCCTTTTCTAAACAGACTGTATTATAGTCTGCAAATAGCAGTGATCTTTGTAGTTTATGGATTTTTTTTTTTAACTTCAATGTTACGAGATGCTCTTCCTGAATTGAAATAAAGCAAAGGGAATTCTCCTGCACTTCTCTCCACAATATTGCTTTTTATTTCTCATTTCTCCTACTACTTCTTTTACCCCTTAAATTGTGTTTAAACAATCAGTTTTAGCTTGAAATTGTATTTTTCAAGCTAATCTAAAAAGTTAGTATCTGTTCATATTATGTAACATTTTTTAGTTTTATATTATTTATGATAATTGGATGAATAAAAATAGACGATTAAAATTAACAGGAAGAATGAGAAGATATTTACTGGAAAAACAAAAAAAATAATCTCAATCGTTTATTTTTATTTATAAAAAAAGGAGTAAAACTAAAAGTTTTATATTAGATGTAAGTGAATTTTAACTTTCAATATTTTTTTAATTTATTTCAAATATATATTTAAATTTGTGAGACTTATTTCTTATATAATTATAAATAATTTATAATGATTGTTTTAACAATATTTAAAATTTATATATTATATATATATATATATTCTGAAAATGAGAAATAAATATATTAATTAGGTTAATAAATATATTTATGTTTGATAAAGCTGAATGTAGGATCAGATTCTTTTGTTGATGTTGGACTTATAGATATGTACTTCAAAAGTGACTTGATGAATGATGCTAGAATGGTTTTTAATTTGATGCCAGACAAGGACTTAATTGCATGGAATGCTGTTATCTCCGCGCTTTCACAAAATGGGGAAGACATGGAAGCTGTATCGTTGTTTCCTTCGATGCATAAGGAAGGAGTTGGATTCAATCAGACTACCTTATCAACAGCACTTAAATCCATTGATAGCTTGCAATCAATGTCTGCAAACAAGTTCATGCACTCTCTGTGAAATCAGGACTTGAGTCTGACCGTAACGTTGTAAACAGCCTTATCGATGCATATGGAAAATGCACCCTTCTAGAAGATGCAACAAGAATGTTCAGAGAGTGTTTGATCGTAGATTTGGTGGGATTCACGTCTATGACCACAGCTTATTCTCAGTCCGGACAAGGTGAAGAAGCTCTTAATCTGTATTTGCTAGATAGAGGGATAGAGCCGGATCCATATGTTTGTAGTTCACACCTAAATGCATGTGCGAATCTATCAGCATATGAACAAGGGAAACAAGTGCACGTACACGTCTTGAAGCACGGATTTACGCATGATATCTTTTCCGGAAATTCTCTCGTCAACATGTATGCCAAATGCGGAAGCATAGATGACGCTGAACGTGTGTTCTCTAAAATTCCTGAGAGAAGAATTGTCTCATGGTCTGCAATGCTAGGAGGACTAGCTCAACATGGCCATGGGAAAAAGGCCCAACGGGTGTTCAATCAAATGCTTAAATACGGTGTTTCCCCCAATCAGATAACTTTAGTCAGTGTCCTTTGTGCTTGTAATCATGCAGGTTTGTTAACTGAAGCCCAGAAATACTTCAGATCAATGAAGGAGTTGTTTGGATTCGAACCTATGCAGGAGCATTACGCTTGCATGATCGATATACTTGGTCGAGCTGGGAGATTAGATGAGGCAATGGAACTTGTAAATACAATGCCTTTTCAAGCAGATGGCTCAGTTTGGGGGGCACTTCTCGGTGCTGCTAGATTCCATAAGAATGTCGAGCTCGGCCAACGTGCTGCAGAGATGCTTTCGAATCTTGAACCGGAAAAATCCAGCACCCATGTTCTTCTTGCCAACATATACGCATCAGTTGGAATGTGGTATAATGTATCAAAGATGAGAAGACTCGTGAAAAACTGCAACATGAAGAAAGAACCGGGGATTAGTTGGATTGAGGTTAAAGACAAGATACACACTTTCATAGCCGGAGACCGAAGCCACGTTCAGAGTGAAGAACTCTATGTTGGATCATAAACTTGATCCATTATGGGAGCCTAAACCCAAACCCAAACTAAATTGATGTCATTACTTACATCATTTAATTAAAGATGTCATTGCTTACATCAATTTAGTTAGGTGAGAGTTAGATATTTGTTGAATTTGTAATGGTTTAAATTAGTTTATTTGTGTGGTGTAGGATTGTTCTTGAGTAGTATAAATACCCCTTCCCATTTTAGTTTTAAGCATCAAGAAAAATTAAGAGCTTCTAAGTGAGTGAAGAAGCAAAGTCTTATAAGAGTGAGTTGTAGTTCTTGTTTTTGAGTGAGAGTACTCTTGTAATATTTGTTTGAGTTTCAATAAAAGTTGTTTGTGTGAGTGTTTTATTTCCAACAAAGTGGTATCAGAGCGAGTTGGAAAGATCGAAGGTCTCGACGAGAGGAATACGACGCCGCCAGAATTTTCTCAATCTGAGTTCTGACGCACCGCCACGCACCGCCGGAAGACTGCTGCCAGAAATCGAGTTGACTCACCGAGTTGAGCCGATTCAGCCGAGTTGGAGCCCTTGACCGAGTTGTCCAAGTCCCTCCAAAGTTTTTTTTTCATCGTTTCGGATTCATCCGTGCAATCGGATTTTACAAAATCTCATTATATTGAGAGATATGGCAAATGGTATGGCACCATTCCAAGTTCCGACACTCAACAACAACAACTACGACAATTGGAGTATCAAAATGAAGGCACTTCTTGGATCACAAGATGTGTGGGATATCATAGAGAAAGGCTATAATGAGCATGCGATGATGATGTTTTTGCTACTCTTACACCAGATCAAAAGACAACTTTGAAGGATTCAAGAAAGAGAGACAAGAAGGCTCTCTACCTCATCTATCAAGCATTAGATGATGATGGTTTTGAAAAGATTTCAAGTGCAAGCTCTAGCAAGGAAGCGTGGGAGAAGCTGCAAACCTCTTACAAAGGATCCGAGCAAGTGAAGAAGGTTCGTCTCCAAACATTAAGAGGTGAATTCGAATCCTTAAACATGAAAGCATCTGAGTCTATTTCAGATTATTTCTCAAGAGTAGTAGCTGTTTCTAATCAATTAAAAAGAAATGGTGAAAAGTTAGACGATGTGATAATAGAGAAGATACTCCGTTCATTGGATCCCAAATTTGAGCACATCGTCGTGACGATTGAAGAAACTAAAGACTTGGAAGAAATGAAGATCGAACAGCTCCAAGGATCATTGCAAGCATACGAAGAGAAGCATAAAAAGAAGCATGAGTTTACTGAGCAACTCCTCAAGCTGCAACTCAAGGATATGCATGAGAGCCAACGCAATGATAGAAACCAACGTGGCCAAGGCAGAGGTAGAGGCCATGGACGAGGTGGAAGTCGAGGTCGTGGACGAGGCTGGAATTACAACAATAACAATTCCAACAACAACTATGAGAAAGGAGAAAGCTCAACACGAGGCCGTGGAAGAATTAATCCAAACTCAAAGTATGACAAATCTCAATTCGATGTTATAATTGTCAAAAATTTGGGCATTATGCTTCAGAATGTAGAGCTCCCAACAACAAAATTGAGGAGAAGGCCAATTACGTGGAGGAAAAGACAGATGGCAAAGAAACTCTTCTTCTAGCACGAAAGGAAACTGATGGTGTCCAAGCAAATTCCTGGTATCTTGACAGTGGTGCAAGCAATCACATGTGTGGAAGGAAAGACATGTTTGTGGAGCTAGACGAGTCAGTAAGTGGAAATGTTTCGTTTGGAGATGATTCCACAATAGCAGTGAAAGGGAGAGGTACATTCTTATCCGTTTGAAAGATGGGAGACATCAATTTATTTCAAATGTCTACTATGTGCCCAATATAAAAGTAACATTTTAAGTTTAGGGCAACTGGTAAGAAAGGTTATGATATTCATATGAATAATTATAATCTTTCTATAAAAGATGATAAGAATAACTTCATTGCTAAAGTGCCGATGTCAAAGAATAGAATGTTCTTGATCAACATACAAAATGATGTTGCAAAGTGCCTGAAAGCTTGCTACAAAGATGCATCATGGCTTTGGCATCTTCGATTTGGGCATCTCAATTTGGAGGTCTAGAGCTATTATCTAAGAAGGAGATGGTGAAAGGACTACCTCACATCAACCATCCTGACCAACTCTGTGAAGGGTGTCTAGTCGGGAAACAATTCAGGAAAAGCTTCCAAAGGAGTCAGAGACAAGAGCTAAGAAGCCACTTGAGCTCATCCATACCGATGTGTGTGGACCGATCAAGCCAAGCTCTCTCGGTAACAATAACTATTTTCTTCTCTTCATTGATGATTTTTCAAGAAAAACCTGGGTATATTTCTTGAAACAGAAGTCAGAAGTTTTTGAAGTCTTCAAGAAGTTCAAAGCAGCAGTGGAGAGAGAAAGCGGTAGAAAGATCAAAGCCATGAGATCCGATCGAGGTGGAGAATTTACTTCCAGGGAGTTTCAAGAGTTCTGTGAAGCAAATGGAATTCGTCGACCAATGACAGTTCCTAGATCCCCCCAGCAAAATGGTGTGGCAGAAAGAAAGAATAGAACAATTCTCGACATGGCACGAAGCATGCTCAAAAGCAAGAAACTACCCAAAGAATTTTGGGCGGAAGCAGTATCGTGTGCAGTCTACTTGTCAAATCGATCTCCAACAAGAAGTGTATGGAGAAAGACACCGCAAGAGGCATGGAGGGAAGAAAGCCTGGCATTTCCCACTTGAGAACCTTTGGAAGTATAGCCCATGTTCAGTACCAGACGAGAGAAGAACGAAGCTTGATGATAAAAGCGAGAGTTTTATCTTCATCGGTTATGATGCTAATTCGAAGGGCTACAAGTTGTACAATCCAGACAATAAGAAGTTGTGATTAGTCGAGATGTGGTCTTCAACGAAGAAGGAGAATGGGATTTTAACTCTCATAAAGATGACTTCAATTTCTTTCCTCAGTTTGAAGAAGATGAGCGACAATGAGGGAGCAACTAGATGAATCTCAACAAGAGCTTGCAACTCCACCCACTTCACCAACATCAACCACTCAAGGAGACTCATCACCTTCATCATCGTCAAGTGGGAGTCAAAGTGAAAGAGTTGTGCAACGCACAAGAAGCCTTAGAGATCTCTATGAGGTAACTGAACGACAGATAATCTTACATTATTTTGTCTGTTTGCCGATTGTGAACCAGTGAGCTTTCAAGAAGCGTACAAGAAAAGAAATGGAGAGATGCGATGGACGAAGAAATCAAGGCCATCGAGAAGAATGACACATGGGAACTTACCTCACTTCCCAAGGGACATAAGGCGATAGGTGTCAAATGGATGTACAAAACAAAGCAAAACGCCAAAGGAGAGATTGAAAGGCACAAGGCGAGGCTAGTTGCTAAAGGCTATAGTCAAAAGGCTGGAATTGACTATGATGAGGTATTTGCTCCTGTTGCTCGATTGGAGACTATCAGACTAATCATTTCTTTGGCAGCTCAAAACAAGTGGAAGACAACAGATGGATGTAAAGTCCGCCTTCCTAAATGGAGTTCTTGAAGAGGAACTTTACATTCAGCAACCATCAGGCTATGAAGTCAAAGGGCATGAAGACAAGGTGTTGAAGTTGAAGAAGGCTCTTTACGGGCTAAAACAAGCACCAAGGCATGGAATAGCCGAATCGACAAGTACTTCCAAGAGAATGGCTTCAACAAATGTCCCTACGAGCATGCTCTATATATCAAGATCAAAGATGAAGATATTTTGATCGTGTGCCTCTACGTGGACGATTTGATCTTCCTGGAAGCAACCCAAGCATGTTTAATGAATTCAAGGATGTGATGATGAAAGAATTCGAGATGACACATGGGGCTCATGGCGTACTACCTTGGCATTGAGTTAAGCAACAAAATGATGGAATTTTCATTTCACAGGAAAGCTATGCAAAGGAGATACTGAAGAAGTTCAAGATGGAGAACTGTAAGCCAATAAGCACACCGGCAGAATACGGGATCAAGATGACAAACATGAAGAAGGCGAAAGTGTAGATCCAACATTCTTCAAAAGTTTGGTAGGAAGTCTACGCTATCTAACTTGCACGAGACCGATATTCTTCACGCAATTGGATTGGTTAGTCGCTACATGGAATCCCCAACAACCACCCATTTTAAAGCCGCAAAGAGAATTCTTCGCTATCTGAAAGGTACAATTGACTTTGGCTTGTTCTATTCAGTTTCTAATGATTACAAGCTTGTTGGATATAGCGACAGTGATTGGGGTGGAGACATAGATAATCGAAGGAGCACTACTGGATTCGTATTTTTCATGGGAGATATTGCATTCACATGGATGTCAAAGAAACAACCGATTGTCACATTATCCACTTGTGAAGCGGAATATGTTGCTGCTACCTCATGTGTTTGTCATGCAATTTGGCTTAGAAATCTATTGAAGGAGATTGGTTTGATACAAGAAGAGCCTACCAAGGTTTGTGTCGACAACAAGTCAGCCATTGCCTTAGCGAAGAATCCAGTATTCCATGATCGAAGCAAGCACATTGATATTCGCTACATATAAGGGAGTGTGTTGCAAAAAATGTGGAAGTTGAATATGTGAAGTCACAAGATCAAGTTGCTGATATTTTACAACTGACCAGCGAAGACTTCTTAAGATTAAGGAACCTACTAGGGGTCACGAGATCAAGTTTAAGGGGGGTGTTGGATCATAAACTTGATCCATTATGGGAGCCTAAACCCAAACCCAAACTAAATTGATGTCATTACTTACATCATTTAATTAAAGATGTCATTGCTTACATCATTTAATTAATGATGTCATTGCTTACATCAATTTATTTAGGTGAGAGTTAGATATTTGTTGAATTTGTAATGGTTTAAATTAGTTTATTTGTGTGGTGTAGGATTGTTCTTGAGTAGTATAAATACCCCTTCCCATTTTAGTTTTAAGCATCAAGAAAAATTAAGAGCTTCTAAGTGAGTGAAGAAGCAAAGTCTTATAAGAGTGAGTTGTAGTTCTTGTTTTTGAGTGAGAGTACTCTTGTAATATTTGTTTGAGTTTCAATAAAAGTTGTTTGTGTGAGTGTTTTATTTCCAACACTCTACGCAAAGCTCGATGAGCTAGGTGAGCGTTTGATCAAAGCTGGCTATGTTCCGAAGGTGGAGTCCGATCTTAATGACGTGGAACACGGTGAAACAGAAAAACTCCTATATCATCACAGAGAAACTTGCAGTAGCCTTCGGATTGATTGCCACCCCACCAGGAGCTCATATTAGAGTGAAAAAGAATCTTAGAGTCTGTAGATTGCCATACTGCATTCAGATTCATTAGTGAAATAGCCTCCAGAGAAATCATTTTGAGAGACATCAGCAGATACTACCATTTTAAAGGTGGCTCATGCTCTTGTGGGGATTATTGGTGATCATATAAAAGGAAGAAATTGAAATGGCCGGCACGATAACAAGCCAGGTAACAGAACACCCTTTCTTTCTCTGTATTACATTGGTTGTATTATCATAAACAAACCATTTTTTTTCAATAAACAGAAAATTCTTTTTGTTTACGATAGCCTTTACGATATCAAGCAACGCCATAAATGCTCGTGTTTATCTTACTGTTCATTAATGATCATGATAATTGAGTTGGAGAGAGTTTTTATTTTACTTAAATTCCCTTATAATCGACAGTGTGCTAAATCAGACAAATTCCTTTTACTCCATCGACTAAGATTCGCAACAATTTGACAATGAAAGGTGCAAACACCCTCGTAGTCTCTAGTGTTTGAACTTGTGACCTCTAAAAATAACAACGATCCTTTTAACTAATAAAATAGTTTGATTCATACTTCATACAAATCATTAAAGATTTAGATTAAGATAGTTCGGATTCAAGTTCCTTAAGTAATCTTTCAGACTTTAGACTAAAATTGAGTTCCATACATAAGTTTATATCCCAACTATATTTATGGACTCTCTAGCTTATTCACCTCCCCTTAAAACACACTTTTTTGACATGTTGAAGTCATTGCAGTGGCTTGATGATACAGCCGACTGTCCAAACTAGGGACGGGTGCAAAATTTTATATTAGAAAAGGTGAATTTATAAAGTTTTAAGGGATGATGAACTTATAAAATTTTATGAGACGAAAATATATTTTCAATTAAATATTCAAAGAATATATCTAAAATATATTGGAATTTAATTTTTTTTAAAGGGATAATCATCCCACCCACTCCCACTCATTCCATCCCTGATCCCAACCTCGAGACATGTTATAAGAAACTACCTTAGAGTTAGAACATGACTTGGTTTTTAAGACTTCAAGCAAACTTGGAATTCAGCGTTGAGTCCGTGTCTGATTTTCTGTGGTCTGAAACTTTGTAGTTCCAGTCAATGATGACTAAATTTACTTTTAAAAGAAGCTTGCTTTTCGTCTTCATCCATGGAAACCAACGTTTTTCGTCATTACAACGACGTTACCACTTCAGTTCAGACAATAATTTTGTATGACAATCGAATGAATTTGGACACAAAATGGTAACAACCCAAATGCTTGTAGATTGAAACTCCTCTATCAATCAAAACTAGAATCTGGCCCGGGGTTTTGACAATGACACCGTATCGTCGTCATTGACAATCATCGAAAATATCCAGCAATTCTACTACGGTGCCGATTCTTTGGTTGAAAATGTCTTTTCGTCAAAGCTTTTCCTCTTATTTTGTATGGATTTCAACTTATAATTTAGCGTCCAAAAATGGGTGTGAATTAATCAATACGATAGTCAATGCCAGCTGTTGTGTTGAGTCAACGTGATTCATCGTCATGCTTTTGATCACTTCTTAATGGCATGTATTGGCCATCCTATATTTATCTTACTCCACCTCCGTCCTGCTCTTCCCACGTGAAGTCCCACTCCTCCGCGATCTTATCTTCCGTCCATAGTTTAATCTTTGAATCATACTCTCCTCGTATTTACAAGGTTTAAGAATAACGGATTTTCTTGAAAAACAATATCAAGAAACATTATCTTATATACGTCTTGTAAGATTTTTATTTCTAATTTATTTATTCACTTAATCTGACCAACCAAAATATATTATATTTGGAGTGTGTAATTCAGGTGGATCGCAGGGAGTGAGGAAGAAAGCTGTCGGGTGAAAATGATACCAGAAGTCAGTAACTAATCATGAGGCAGCAGGGTTGAATGAGAAGCCTTTTCTGTTTATTTCTTGGGTATTACTAAAGTTACCGAGTAAACCCTCACTCTATTAAACTTATCAAGTCAAACCCTACTATCTATTATTTTAAACAAGTACTATATTAAAATTCATCATAAATAAATCTTATTACCTAAATAAATTCCTACTACCTATTTTAAATCATCAACTATATTATATTAAAATCATCATAAAAATCAAAGAGAAGAAGAATGAGCATACGGGAGAGAAGAATTGAGGAAAAAAGAGAAAAACATTTCTGTATTCTGTCGAATTTTCACCGGCGATCGAGATCCGATCAACGTTTGAACGTGAAAATTGTACAAGGTCAACATGAACAACATACTGAAAAATCAGAATGATCGTTCGGTGGACAACGACAGATCAGAGAAAATAAATCCGAACGGTTTTTGGCTTCTTTATGGAGATCGGGATGTACGATTAAGTTTCGAACGGTGAAAATTGCACAAATCCAACAAAAAACATACTGAAAAATCATACGATCGAAAAAATAAATCCAAACAATTATTATTATGTTGAAGAAATGAAAAAAAATTTAATAATAAACTTTAATAATAAAAAAAGAAATTTTAATAAAATATATATATATAATGATAAAAAATGATAGATTTAGTAAATGATTTGTATATTTAGACTAACCCTATTTCTTTTCTCTTTTCTTTTCTACGAGTGTTAAGTGCAATCAACACGCGTTAAAGAATAAACCAGACGTGGCATCACGTAATTGGACCTGTTGGTCCAAGCGAAGCGGGCGGTCATGCAGGAGCTCCGTGTGGTCTGGGGTAGGCACTAGCCGCGCCATCTACTCCTTTTATCAAAAATGCCTTATAATATACGATTTTAATTAATTTTTTTAGATTTGTCAAAAAGACCAACTAAATCGTAATACGATCGATAATTCGCAACGCGATCTCCGATATCGCAAATCAGTTTCCAAATTCGCAACGAGATTCTGACTATCGCATTGCGATTTCCCAATTCGCGTTGCGATTTTCCTAATCGCAACGCGATTACGTAAATCGCAATGTGAATACGTAAATGCAAACGTTGTATTATGTGTATTTTATGTGTGAACTTTTAACATTTTCAGTTAGGCATGTGACTTGAGTTTGAAAATTGCTATGATCTGTTCAGTTGTTATCACTTATTAGGCATTCATTTGACTATCGCAACACGGAAATGACGTTCGCAATCATCTTAATGTCTATCGCAACGAGATAATCGCAATGCGAAATGAAAATCGCAACGTGAAAATCACAACGCGAATATGAATATCGCACCGCGGAAATGACTATCGCAATGCGAAATGAAAATCGCAACGAGAGAATCGCAATGCAAAATGAAAATCGCAACGACAAAATCAAAACGCGAAACTAAATTCGCGTTGCGATTTTCATTTCGCGTTTTCATTTCGCATTGCGATTCTCTCGTTGCGATTTTCATTTCGCATTGCGATAATCATTTTTACCTTCAACATAATGCAGATTGAAATCAACAAAATCAACCATTACATTTTAATCAATTAAACAAGCACAAATAAGAATTATGTTCACATCAATTAAACAAATCAACTTTTACAAATCATCTTTTACAAATCAATTAAAACAATAAAAAAATAAGCAATAATTCTTATTTCCTCATCTACTATTGAATCAACTTTTGCAGCCATACATCATTTTCACGCAGTTCACTTCTGAGATTAACCTGCAGAAACCAAACATTTGCTCAAACAACACTTTCTACACATCTAAAACCTACAAACAACAAATTATTGAATACTAGGTACTTAACCAAACATTTTCAAACCAAAAGCCTATAAACTTACCAATTGTTTATGGACATTATTGCGATTTACGTATTCTCGTTACGATTTACAGATACACGTTGCGATTTACGTATTCTCGTTACGATTTACGGATACACGTTGTGATTTATGGATACGCGTTACGGTTTTACAGATACTAGTTGCGATAGTCAGAATCGCGTTGCGATTTTCATATTCGCGTTGCGATTATCGCAACGCGAATTTGTACTATCGCATTGCGATTCTGGGAACTGATTTACGATTCTGGAGATCGCGTTGCGATTTTTATTTCGCATTACGATTTTATTGGTCATTTTGGCAATTCTAAAAAAAATTAATTAAAATCGTATATTATAAGACATTTTTGATCACGATTTTCTCTTAACATTTTAATATAAAAATAATCCAACCTCACCCGGCGAGTGAGCAGAATATGCCGACAACTCTTTTTGAAAACTCACTTACCTCCTTTCTCACTTCACATCAGCGCACCACGCCCTTTTTATAAATGGTCTTGTGAAAGGACGCGATAAAAAAAGGTTAGATGGAGAGTATAATATAAACGCAGCGTTCAAAGACAAACCCACGTACCACGCAATCTGCATTCGTTAATTTACGAAACTACCAGCCGCCCCTCCTCAGTCAAATCCCTCGTTGACTGTGTACTCTGCTTTAATTCCTCGCCGATTCCAATCTTCTCTTTCTATAAATTCCTCATCGCTTCGCCATCTGTTTTCTATCCACCCCACACAAAATCGCCATTTTCGAAACCGAAAGAACAAATAAAAACATCGCCGTACTTCGAAAGCACAGAGTTTCCCTTTCGACATGGCACCGAGGGAGAAAACGACGCCAGTCAAAAGTACCGGCAACGGTGGCGGGAATAATAATAATAATGAGGTTCATTTTAGAGGAGTAAGGAAGCGTCCATGGGGGCGTTACGCTGCTGAGATCAGAGATCCGAGGAAGAAGAGCCGTGTTTGGCTAGGGACTTTTGATACGGCCGAGGAAGCGGCCAGAGCCTACTACGTCGCCGCTCGAGAATTTCGCGGCGCCAAGGCTAAGACAAAATCTCAACAAGGGAATGAGTGTAAAAGTAACGGTAATACAAACACCACCACCACCGTAGCCCCAGCCAGAGTAGCACCGTGGAATCCTCAAGCCGTGAGCCGGATCTCATGATCGATTCATCGCCGTTAGACCTCAACCTCGTACAGGGCGAGGCTGTTACCGGTTACGTACCCACGGCTGTTAGGTTTCCTTTCCAGCAAGCTTCGCTGGTGCCGTATATCGCGGGGAGTAAATTTTTTTACTTTGATCCGTTCGTTCGCCCTGATGTAGTGAACGGCCAGCAGTTTCAACGGCTGAGATTCGATCATCATCGTCATC